TACTTAGTTGCCGCAGTTTGGCCTCTCATTCAGTCGTTTTATATTACTTAGTTGCCGCAGTTTGGCCTCTTGTTCAGTCTTTTTATATTACTTAGTTGCCGCAGTTTGGCCTCTTGTTCAGTCTTTTTATATTACTTAGTTGCCGTAGTTTGGCCTCTTGTTCAGTCTTTTTATATTACTTAGTTGCCGCAGTTTGGCCTCTTCTTCAGTCTTTTTATATTACTTAGTCTTGCCGCAGCTGGGTCTCTTATTCAGTCTTTATTTATTTAGTCCTGCTTTATTCGGGTCTCATGAATCAACCTCGCAGAAATCGAGTCATACTCTAACAAAGAGCTGTTGCCACAACCCGCGGAAATCTTTCCAGATAAGCCGAGGATTACAGCTCAGGCCTGCAGCCAGTCTGTTGACCACTCAGTCATGTCATAATGACGTGGTGCAGGTAAAGTTGTGATTGAGCCGAGCGTCCCTGCGCACAGTCGCTGACATACCCAAACACGTCTCTTTCCAACCCAGAAAAGTACATGGCCTACCAGCAGTATTCCAGGCACACCAAACTCAACAACGAGCCTTTGGAGCTGGATTCGGAACTCTGTGCTTTTCAGGTGCAATGCTACCTGGTCTGCACGGCGGTCCTGCACACGGCGCGACTTGGTATCACCGGCCAAGGAAGTCTCAGTCAAAAGACCCAAAACCCAAGTCCGCCGCCTCCCGCCACGAGGCGGAAGCGCCCGCCGTAGCTCCCAGCACGAGAACGTGACAGACAACGCAGCGGGGCGCCGGCCAGCCCTGGTCACGTGACCAACAGCCACGTGATACCGACCTCCACGTGATATCCACGTGACGTCCACCTGGCCCCGCGCGTCCCGTTTCTGCGCGGCCCCCCTCCCAGCTCCTCCTTCTTCCTCCCATGTCCCATTTTGCACCCGTTGCCAGCGGCCCACACACGCCGGAAAACGCCCCGCGCGCCGCCGCGGCCGCACGGGCGGCGCCAGCACATGCCGCCGCCCCGTTTTCGCCCGCGCCCCGGCCCCCTGCGTGCCGCGCCAGCGCCCCCCAAAAAGCCCTGCCCGCGGCGGCTAAGGGCCGCCAAAACACCGCCCCCAGCGCCGCGCCGCCAGCGCCGCC